TTTCGGAAACAAGCTCGGAGCGGCGGAAATAAGATAGACGCCAGCGCGGTAGAAGAGGTAGTCTCTCTCGCCAATTCTGAGGGCTAGTCTCACCGATCGACACCTCCAATCTTAGGGGTGCTCTGGGTCCCCGTAATTTTGCTGCCTGGTCAAACCAGAATACCGTCATTGCACGGACTTGTCCTTGTGCCTAAGTTCCAAAACTGCCACTTTCAGGCGGCGCACTACTTGTGGCCGCCTGACACTGTGGGGCATAGTGAATGAAAAAGATGGCAGCGGCAACTCAACATCAGCAACCACCTACTAACGCCAATCCAGTTGTTCCAGGAAAGCAAACTTGAGTGAGCCAAGATCACCTCATTCCAGCATACAGCTCACTGATGACTGCTGACGAACAACGGGCTGGGCCGGGCACTGCTATGGTGCAAAAGGTGCCTGCAGATCTATCCCTTGCAGAATGGAAACCATAGAACACATTTTCCTACAACGCCCCTCGTCTGCGCTGATGTGACGCTGGCGGGACGGGATCTGGCAGAAAACTGTCCCTGGAGCGGTCTGGCCGTGGGATTGACGGGCGTTGCTGGCGGGATACTGCCCCCACTTGCAAGGCGGCTGCTTCAGGGAAAACATGTTTTGCCTGAGTAGGCAAGCGAACCATTCTCTGGTACTTCGGTGGCAGAGGTGCATCTAGGTGATGGAGGGAGCAAAAATGGAAGGGGAGGGGAGGTGATCGAATAAATCAAGCAGACTTGGTTTTCCAACTTTTCCTACAAACGAACAAAGAAAGGAAAAGAAAGGGAAGAAAAAAAAATCACCAACCAGTGGCAGTCAGCCAAGCAAAAAATGAATTTTGTAGTATTTGTACACAAAAAAAAAGACATAACCAAAACCATCTCGCAGTTGGTGACCTGGCCTGGAGACACACAACAGCAGGGACAATAGCGGAATGAGCAGAACGAGCAGCCAGGGTTCAACATCGTCAGGAATTATCAGCTGCAATTTTGATGACTGGACAGCGATTTCGACCCCAACGTGCCACTGAGACCGGGAACAGACTTCCCCAACTTATCCCCACCCCATCCCCTGTCTATAGTGGAGATTCTGCAAAAAGACTGACTGTCAAGGCTGTGTGTGAGTCTTGGCTGTGTATGCTGCAGCTGTGAAGGACTGATGAACGTCTCGTGATTGCTATGTTTCTTCGCACACTTCTAGTGCTCTAACTACCTAGTGTCATGCTAGGTGGGACGCGAGCGCAGACAAGAATTTGACTTCAGTCACTTCCGAATCGACCGTTCACTAGCTGACTTGGGACAGAAGGTTTTCATAAGGAGGGTGGTGAGTCTGGCTCCCGAGCCCACCGGAGCCAGCAGCCGCATCCAGCTTACACCCCCCCCACCCCCCCCCCCCCCCCCTGGGTATCATCTCTTCTCATTTCTCAGACTTTCATAAGCTGAAGTCAGGTAATGCTCCCAGTACATCCAGATCAGAATGCTGTATTTGGGACTCTGGGACTCGGTTTCCAGCTGGTGACGCTTCCCCCCACCAATAGACTGGAGCACAGGGGACACAGAGTACCGTGGGAATATGCTCGTATCCTTCCCCCTGGTTAAAAAAACAAACAAACCGAAAAGGATAAACCTTCCTTGAATCCTTGGTCTACGTGGAAACATTTGTCGGCCATAGCCTTAGCCCCTATCTTATACAGGACCGTTAGTGGGGAGATCGGTCTGTCATTTCATTTAAGTTGTTCTCAGTTGCCTTTTTGGATTAGGAGAGAGCAACACCACACTGGAGCCCAAAACCTTGTCCAAGCGTGTTTATCCCAGCGGTTGAAAAGAGCTGGAACTTGGAAGTAGGTCCCCGGTCCCCCATTAGGCCAAAAATAAAACCGGGAACGTTTTGGTCACTGCGTCAGTCGATTCCCAGTTTTCTTTTTTAATTTCCCATTATATCTAGGATTAAACCGCCCGTACCTTTCTCAGCTATAGATGCCGAGCCTAGAATCGTCCTGCGCGTCAAGAAAAAAACGAACCGGCGCGGGACTCATTTTGGCTGGCGCTGCCAGCCATTCCGGTCCGGTAGCACCGAACCCCGCCGGCCTCCCGCGTTACCCCGCGCGTCTCGACAAAATAGCTGGGAAAGGTACCGGAGGTTTAACTGGAGTTCCTGCAAAGTCAGGGGTCCGTCTGTCGAGGTCTTTAGCCTGGTCGGGGGGTAATGGTTCTGTCTACGTGGGGGAAGCATCTTCTGTCAAGCCACTATGGTCTGTGGGAGGACCTGACTGGGTGATGATTGGAACCGTTTCTTTGCCCTCATTGGTAGTGATCTCTGGTTGTTGTGGGTCCAGAAGGGCCTCTCAATCATATTGTTTCTTGGGTCAGATTCTATTCTTCGCGGAAAAAAAAAACCTTACACATTGTTTGGTTCAGTGTGTAGGTGGTTATCCTCACCCAGATCTGCAAGTCTCTGAGTTCCCACTTGCTGCAACTCGCAAGCAGGTTGTAGCAGATAGTAAATCCTTGTTTTTTTTCTTTATCCAGTGAGCAATCAATGCCGTTCAAAGTGGAATGAAGCGTGGTTACTGGATGTCATTCGGACTTGCCGGTGGTCTCGTGGAAGAGGGACTGGACTGACATTTCCCAGAAGAGAATGTGGCCGGGAACATGTAAAGGATTGTATCAAAAGAAAGAAGAGAAAAGAGAATATGCCTTCTGTGTTCTGCATGGTGGATGATAGTACGCTTAAGAGACAGCACAGTGAATTCGACACATAATGCCAGCAGCTTTGTACCAGCATGATGCGTGTGATTTGCGTTGGCACTATTGAAGTCTGGTTCATTTAAAAAATCCTCCTGTCGAATGATGTTATCATATAGTAAAGTAGGGTAGATGGAGAGGAAAGACAAACATTTACACACGCACACACACACACAATCAGTATTATGTCTGTAAGTCTTTCTCTTGTTGTCTGTCCTCCTGAGCTTTTTCCAAGTAGTTTTTTTGTGTGCCCAACGGAGCACCCTTGAGCAGTGCTAAACAGTCGGTTGGTACCTCGTTTGGAGTGCCTACTGCACTCTTATGGGGGCTCCTCAGTTTGGGTTGTCTGTGTTGCTTATGGGTGATGACAGATGCTCGTCGGAGTGACTCCCTGGCTCAGTGGGTGGTGGGAACCAACAGTCTGCGGGGTTCAATCGTGATGTGAGTAGGTCAGGTGCTGCTTTGCTCCGTGTTGGATGTGTGGACGTCCTCGTCTGCGCTCCGCCGCTGCCCTGCTGCCTGTCCCGCTTGCCTTGCATGTGGTTCTTTGCAGGTTGATGTGTTCGCTGTGCGGTGTGGCTGTGTTGTTGGTGTTGCCTTGCGCTTCGCTGCTGCGCTGCCGTGCTGCTCATCCACTGGCTGTGCCTTCCATGTTTCCGCGCTGCGTGCCATGTCTTTCCTTGCAGTCGTTTTTGGCGTTGTGCAGCCGTGTTGCCTCTACTGTGCTGCCTGGTGCTCCACAGGGTTGCCGCCCGCTGCTATGTTCCGCTTGGGGACAATCTGCCGTCAACAAGGGTCAAAGGGTTCATGACCCAAACCATCTAATACGGAGATTCCCGCAGATTGTCGAGGGTTCAGCCTCCTGATGAGTCGGTGCAACTCCGGCGAAACAATCTTTCATCTTTATTTTTTTTGGTCTGTGTCTTTTTGTCATACTTAGTTTTTTGGTTGCTACTTTTGCCTTGCTGCTGTTTGGCTCGCTGTTGTTTCCCTGCTGCTTTGGGCTGTTTGTCTCCCCRCCTGCCTCCACCATGCCTTCCCTTGCCTTGTGYTGTTCGCCCTGTTACGTGCTGCTYGTTTGCTCCCCCCRCCTCCCCYGTGCCCTCCAGCCTTCGTCCGCTTGTTGTTCATCACAGTGCCTCCCTGCCTTGCCAGTGTGCTGTTTGCCCTGTTAAGTGTGTCCCTGCCTTGCCAGTGTGCTGTTTGCCCCGTGCCCTCCTTCGTCCGCTGCTTGTTCATCATAGTGCCTCCCTGCCTTGCCAGTGTGCTGTTTGCCCTGTGCCCTCCTTCGTCCGCTGCTTGTTCATCATATTGCCTCCCTGCCCTGCCAGTGTGCTGTTCCCACTGTGTGTCTGTCCACTCACCTTGCCTTCGCCCTTGAGCCTATGTCTATGTCTTCCGTGGGTACTACTTATTTCTTAGCTCGCTGTCTTTGCTTCGTCTTATCGTGTCTTTTGTGCCCGCCCGCCTCCCCCGTGCCCTCCAGCCTATGTGTTTTGTTGTTGATTGTCATCTATGTGCCTCATACGTCTCCTCAGTGTACATTACCTCCTGTTTGCTGCTCCCTGCCTCTCCCCATGTTCTAGTCTGTTTGGCTTCAACAGTAGGGCATTCAGCTTTTCTTTATTTGCTTGTTTTGGTCATGCCATATGAAGTGGACGATTTATTTTTCTGGTATGTTTCTTGATGTGCCTTTTCTGTGCAGCTCGCCGCGTCGACTGATAGGTTGTTAGTAACAAATAACACACACACACACACACACACACACACACACACACACACACACACACACACATCTCGCACACACACAAACACAAACACAAAATTTGCAGATAGTGGGTCTTGCTCCACCACACAACACTCTATATGTATCAGGAGCTCATAATCATCCCGATACATTCTAAATGTTGGACTCGTCGGAATGCACCTCATCCAGAAAGCATCCACGTAGAGTGTTGAGTAGTGGAGCGCGGCCCAATAAGGAAGCGCCTCAGAGACAAAGCAGGATGGCAGCGCAGATCCAACCCTCACAAAGCGGGATGAACTGCGTAATGACAAACAATCAAAAGTGGCAGAAACGAAGAGAAATAGAGGCAGCAACAATCAAGGAGAAGGAGAGACCAAGAGATCACAAGCTGAAAAAAAAAAGAAAAAAAAAAAAAGCCGGAAACAGATCTGGAGAAAGGACAAAACTGTCGAAAAACGAAAAAAGAAAAAATAACAAAACTGTCAACCAACGTCCGTGAAGTGCTTAAACATTCATTTATCTAAACACATCAACCTCTTTATACACAATTCGCCGACCCAAAGGTCAAGAAATGACACATGGAAACAGTTCATGATGAACCTGAAGGAAAAAATCAATAAGGTGAGATGATGTTACCCCCACCAAAGGAGAGATGAAAGTTGAACCATCACTCGTTCTGTTTCTGCACAGGTCACGAGACGAACCTGACTCAGCTAAACCAGCATTGCATCCATACTGCTGCCAAAGAACCGGGGAACACACCAGCGCTAGAAATCTTCTGATCTGGAACAACACCAGGTCACTTCAAGAACACGGCAACTGGACCCGGGACCGTCCAGGACCCACGCCCATCTATAACAGAAGTAGGTAACCTTAACAGTCCAGTGCGACCTCCACGATTGGCACCCACATGTCACCATCTGCTTGCTGAGACGCCCAGGCTCTCGTCTCGACTCTGTCAATCTCATATCCTCTCCCTCTGCACATGCAGCTGAGGCTGGCAGCAGCAGACAAACCGGCCTCAATAACTGTCGATGTTTACTCTGAAAACAGAATGAGCCCAATGCAGTGGAAACAAGTACTTCTCCGCTTTTGTCGACATCGTACGTACCTTTCCTCTGCAGATGCACCTGAGGCTGGCAGCCGACAATCCAATCGGCCTTGGCAACTGTCACTATTTTACGAACTGAGAGAGAAGTTCAGGATTCCGAAGCAGTGGAAACAAGTACTGGGATCCTTCCCGTGCTATCTTGCAGAATCCCCCACTTGCAGCTCGTGGACAGCTATATCAGCCTAGACGTGTTCCCTTGCCTCCTTGGTACTTCACCAGCCAGTCAGTCTCCTCCAATGTTCACCCGGTTTTTGCCCCTGCTTCCAGATCAGTATCAAGACAGTTCTGAGACTGCATGCAGCGAATGCCATTCGTGGTCACAGCAACCTCCGCCTTGCCAACTGTGTGTGCAGTTATGCCCCTCCCTTCGTTGGTGTGATAGGGGCTAAACTGCAGACGTGCACCTCGCGTTTTTCAAATTGAAATCCACGAGACAGTCACACCCCGCCTGTTGTTTGCGTTGACAGGGGGCTATAGCACAGACACTCAGCAAATCCTGCCTTTCTCTTTCCGATCCCACACAGAATGAACAGATGAAGGAGCTGACTCTAGCCAGACCCAAAGAAAAGGGATTCTTAGGGCTATACCGCGGATGCTCACCTCGTGTTTGTCAAATTGAAATCCCTGAGACAGTCACGCCCCACCTGTTGTTTGTGTTGACATGGGAGACTCTCAGCAAAGCTTTTCTCTTTCTGATCCAACACAGAGTCAACGGACGAAGGAGCTGACTCTAGCCAGACCTTATAAAAGGGAATTCTTACATCGACGAGAAGTAACTGACATCTGGATATCTTAACATCCTGTCTTCTGACAGAAATCAGCAGATGATCTCCCTGCAGCTGTGGGAATGTACACAACGAATGTGACCTTCGGTGACCACGCAGACCAGCCAGATCTCGCAGAGTCTTCTAGACAGACAAAACAACTCCCTAATTGTTTCCAGCGTAACCTTAAACTGCCAGTAAATGGCCCCAGCCTTGCAGAAAGTTTTTGGTCGCCTCAAGCAAACCTCGGAGGGGCGGCGCGGCATGGGGCGCCGTTGAAAAAAACAAATCTGAAGCCTCCGAAGTTGTGCGGGTTCCACGCTGACACCCGCGGGCCTATGTATGATGCACTGGTGCTTTCACACGTAGTAGTTACCCGGTTGGCCCCAGTATTCCTCTACCCTTTGCCAACCACCGAACCAATTCAATGCAGCTCGTCTCGCAACTCTGCTGAGTCTTCTGTAGGATGCAGCTTCTAAACGCTTTACTCCCCTGTGCAGCCATTAGAGTACAGAACTTTCAGTTGACATACGCTCTGCAAACTTCTCCATGGGGGTAACAGTATCATCTCACCTTTGTCCTGCTCGAGGAGGACGTACAAGACTAGATCCAACCTAAGATCTTCAACGCGATAAACAAATGAGAAAGAAAGAAAGGCCGTAACAACCTATCCGATTTAAAGCTAAGGAAATAAAGAAACTCCTGCTTCGTAAGCGTAAAGCTATGAATAAAGGGATTGGCAAATTTTCATCCATATTGATGGAAAGCCTCCATGAGGGGGGCTATTAGGGTAAGCTCCAAAATCAATTAAACGAACCCCGTGCAATGCGGAAACGGATCCCCCTTCTTCGTATGATGCCTCGTGCCCTCTCTCCAGCTCCAGACATTCTGATGCTTGCAATGTGTTGAATGATCATCTTCTTAACCCTAGGAACACATTCACAACAGGACTTCAACGACCGAATGCGACATTAATTAATGTGGTCCGTTCAGTCACTAGACTTGCCGAGTGAAAATGTCATTCACTAACGACTGGTCGGGTGAAAATTGTCCGTGCAATCTTCGAGAAAAAAAAGGTAAGTGAATGCAGCTTTGTCAGCAATGGTTGGCATGGCCAATCTGGAGACGCTCCTTCAGGTTGTGCTATGGAAGAACTTTGCCTGTCCAGAGAGAAGAGAGAGCTCACAGATGTCCCCTTGATAATGTCCAATTAGCAGACCTGACAGTTCACAGATGTTGCCCAACAAGCAACGCTGCTGACTGGTCTGCATAATCGGATAAACGTCCACCCTCATGGCCTCTACCACTTAACAGAGGGTTCTCCACTGAGCAAAGCCTTCACCACTCAACGCAACTCAATCAATCAAATCAATCAATCAATCAATCAATCAATCAATCAATCAATCAATCGTTCCCATCAAGCAATTCAACTCAGTCAAATCCATCTGTCCATCCATCAACCAATCAACCAGCCAGTCAGCCATCCAGCCAGCCAGCCAGCCAGCCAACCAACCCACCAACCAACCAGCCAATCAATTGAGCAACCAAGCAACTCGTCGAAAACTGTCATGCCAATTCTCCTGATGAACGCATCCCCGTAATGCTGACCAGGCGCATTCACTCTACGTGGGCATAGAAACTCGCCTGGGGACGGGCCATTGAAGGCTCAGCACAAACAGGGAGGCACGGACAAAAGGAATCGTCCCATCCATCCATCCATCCATCCAGCCAGCCAGCCAGTCAGCCAGCCAGTCAGCCAGCCAGCCACCCAGCCAACCAGCCAATCAATCAAGCAAGCAACCAAGCAACTCATTGAAAACCGCCAGGTCAATCACGCTGATGAAAAGGCTCAGCACAGACAGGGAGACAAAGACAAAAAGAAGCGTCCCAGCCATGCAGATCTTTACATCCATTTCTCCTTTTGCTGTAGCTTGTCATAATCCACACGCTATACCATGAACAGTGAACACTCATCGGAAAAGAACGGATCCAGTCCAGCACGAATGCGCCTTGTCAGCATTACAAAGTCGGTCATCCGCGACCAGGATGATCCCGCTTTACTCGGTGGACGCATTTCGATGGCCCATCCCCGTCTAGGTGGACATCTCCTGGCTGCGGACCTGTGCATTCACTCTACGTGGGCATTGAAACTCGCCCTCCTAGCCCCCGCTCAATTCCAGTTGCTTTTGTCTCATTGAAGGCATCTCCTCTCCTGGTCACGGTCTCCGTACCACAATCATCGTTGACCCCCCCCTCCAAACCCTAAACCAATGCAGTCAGCTTGACATTCCTTTTAGGATTTTAGCCAGAATACACCCCCTTGCTCTTGGATGCCAACCAATTGCAACTGCCAGTTCTGGTGGCCAATTTCTGCTTCTGATTCTGATGGATTGGTGCATTATTCCTCCACAGGAGAATCATCATTAACAGAACTTCGCGGGAACGGAACGGAATAGTGCACGAATGCATCCCCCCCGGGACCGTGAATGAGTGTTCCGATTGCAGCTTTGACAGCTCCAGCAAGGGCTTGGGACGCGAAAATGATGGCAGCCTGCCATTACATCTTTACACAACTAGACATAGCTTTCTGTAAAAACCCTCATGGACAAATCTATACAGGTCAAAAGCAAAAGATCTGTGCAATTACCTGGGGGCTTTCTCAGGCTCTATTGCTTGCTTCGGAGAGTGATTTGTCAATCAGAAAGGGCAGAAGAATGGAGCTGCGCCGAAACTGGTAGACAAGCTAGCCACCTTCTTACGGCAAAGCAGGTGCTCACACATCAGGGCCAATACTAGGTAAATTCACTCCAAAGAGATCCAAGACGCATGCCACTGCAGTCGTGCAAGGCAATTCAATGCACCAGTTGTGCCTGCCTAAACTCCCAAAATGACATATCGAGTTCAAATCAACTTTCCCGAAGCCAATGCAAGCCATATAAATGCAAAATCCAATTGGAGTCAAGTCACGCCAAGCCATCGTCTTGATGGACTAGACTTCCATACATCCAACTCTTAGTTGAAAAATGTGTATTGAGCCTATTAATTGAGGATTCAAGGTGTGCATTAGACGGGGCAGGCCCAAAGCGAAAGAACAGTGCGAGCGCTGGCTAGCTGGCTTTGATCCTAGAGCAAGTGCAAGAAACAAATGGATCTCAGACTCACAGAGAAAAATCGGACTACCCAGTGGCATGGACACCTGGAAACATCATCCTCGTCACCGTCGTCTTCATCATCCTCACCACTGACAACACCATCGTTACGATGGAATTCCTCAACATCTATGAATGTTCACATGCAAATCTCTTTAGCAGAGAGCAAAAGTAGCTGTCGCCTCTTTCTATCTTCCTGCACGGAAAGCAAGCCAACATGCCGGTACACTACAAATGCGAGATCGACAACCTTACAATCAGCTAGCACATGGCTAGGACATATGAATGAGCTGTAGGGCGAAAGGATGTCGACGCTTTTGGGGAGCATCACATCATCATTCACCCCTATTCTGTTCTCTGTCAATATCATCTTCTGGCCTGTAAGTAAGTAAGTAGGACTGTACTGTAGTATCATTTGCTGTTAGTAAGTGGGATAAGATATGGACATCATGTGCAGGGGGAACAGCACTTCCATCCCCTCCTATTTCCAAGCGGGTGTGGTCTTATCGAACGTGCCCCCATCCTGCCCCATCCAACAGGGAACCCACCTCGGACACAGCTGTTTCAGGCAAAACGATTTCCTTGTGTGTCATTAGAAGCGGTAGAACAAGATGGACTCATCGATGCTGGGCGATGATCCAAGCTCAGGAGGGCAGCACGCATGCCTGCAATCACTGCCGTTACAGACCGAGGGTGGGCGAGGACCACCCTACGGGACAACTCATCAGGAGCGCACAGGGGGGACGGCGATCTCTGTCGAAGGAAAGAGAAGCTGGAGGGAGATAGCGGAACAAACTGAAAGTGAAACTACAAGAGTAAGGAAGTCAAGTCAAGCAGAACTGGACTGGTCAAAGGAAGAGGAAAGCGGCAGCAAATGCGTCGTCGTGGCAATGACGGCGAAGATATCGACACGCGGATTACGACGGTACGGAAGGTAAATATTCTTACAACTCTGACGTGCATCTGCCTGGCCCTTCTCGGCTACACCCGGCCTCTACCACCTGGCCCTTCTTCCCCCCCCTCTTTCCCTGCCTTGCTCAGTCGAAAACCATGATGGTGAAATCAACTATTTGTATTTGCGAAAATGGAACTGTAAAATGCAAATTGAAAGACCTCTCTTTGATCGTGCAGTCGCCGAAACATCCTTCAACTATCTTCTTCCTCCCTACCCCATGATACTTAACTAACAGGTCCCCCTTCTCATTATCATCCATGACCCCCTTTATAACTACCGTAGCAGCAGGCTACCAGCGGGCGGATGAATTCTGAAATGGTGAGGGGCCCGGGGGAGGGAGGGGGGAGCATCATTGTGCCTGACGGTCATGGACAGGCATTCTTTACGGTCGGATCACAATTCCTTACTAGGAATGACCAATGCTGGCCTTCATGTCCCTTGTCATTATCCTTGTCATCATCATCATCATCATCATCTTTAACATATCATTGTACTCCTACTCTTCCTCCTTTTCCCACTCCTCCACTTCCTTCCTCATTTCATCATCATCATCATCATCATCATCATCATCATCACAGATACCACTAGCATGATAAGCCCTGCCATCATCATCTCACCATAGCCAGAACCACCACCACCATCATGATCATCATGCTGAATTGTCGTCACCTGCACCACCATTATCATTTCACTTCCCCCAACACGCAGTCACTAACTATTACCCATTCCATCCAATTGATTGATTAGACTTCCCCGCTACCCAAAGTCAACAGAAACAACTACTGTTTATCGAACTGAAAACCTATCTAGGGAGAGCATGATCTCCCACACATTCGACCAATCCGTCAATGCAGGTATCCGCCCCACTGCTGTCTCCATCCCTATGCTGTAGCACCGGGAATCCGGGCGAATCACATAATTATCTAGAGGCAAGTAGGACCTCTTTGATTTCATCCACAAGAAAGCAAGATCATCAATCCACTGTAACGAGCCCATTGCACGATCCATGCTCACCAGCCGGTGGCTTCAATTTTAGGTCTGCGAGCCATGTTGAAACTGTCACTACAAATATTCTACACCACAAGGACACACACATGGGATGACGTTGACGACCTGCCACCTGATACATACCCATCCAGTGCTGCCCACTGCACCATGATTTGCAGCCACGAACATGACCTCCTCCACTTCCCTGGTACTCTTGCTACTTTCCACATGCAGTAGAGGTTACTTACCGCTGCTGCTGCTGCTGCTGCTGCTTGGGGCAGTCACGACCGGTCTCTACCGGAGCCGTCCGGCAGGTTCAATCCGCCCTCTTGTGGACCCGTGGGGCCTTGTCCCGCCCCAGCGGCCCCGCTGGCCCTCATTTGATGATGGTGCATGTGTTGCAATTGCTCATAAGCAAGATGCTCGTTTCTCCGTTGGGCTTCCATGTCAGCAACTTGCAAGTCAAGGGAAGTGTGGTGATGATGAGCATGGTTCGGCAGGGAGAGTGCATGCCCATGGCTGACATCCAGCTGGAGTTGATGGCCTGCAGCAGCGCCAGCGTGATGATGCTTCAGGCTGCCGATTGTCCCGGCATGATGATGCGTGTTGTGAGGATAGCCGTCATGGTGATGGCCACCTGGCAAAACACCTCCCCCTCCCCCTCCCCCGCCTAGATGGTTTCCCGCCAATGTGGTGACTGCGTGGATGCCCATTGTGAACTGAGAATGCGGATGGACATTATGAGACGAAGCAATTTGCATCTGAGTATGACCTCCATGGCCATGGTTGTGGCTGTGCGGATGACACTGTGCCTGCTGCTGTGGTGGGCCACCAAGTTGTTGATGCGATTGTCCAGTGGCTTGACCCGTTCCTGCCAGTGACACACCTGATACAGCCAAAGGCAGTGGCACTGCCACCCTATGTTGGCGCCGTTCTAGCCTTCGTTGCAGCCTCTCTGGGATGGGTCCTGCGTAAGATGGCCAGTCATCCAGACCCTTCAAAATCCGATGGCCACCCAGCTCTCGCCACTTGGACTGTAAGCCCTTCCATGATCGACCCATCAGCTGGTTCCAGCGCTCAGGATTGGCTGCTATTCTGTGAATAGCCTGCCGGAAAAGGGGACACAGACGGACGGACCAGGATAAAACCAACGGGGGGTGTGAACAAGGGATGAAAACATGCCTGGCAATGAAAGAAAATGGACGAGAACGACCCATCAGCCAATTCTAGCGGGCATGATTAACTGCTATTCTGCCTATTCAGTGGTTATTAGCCTCCCAGGACAGGGGACAGTAGAACCAGGACAAAACCAACGGATGTGAACAAAGGACAGGGACAAGAACATATGCACACACACATCATCATGTGACGGTCCTTCAACATACAGTTGGGCTTTCCCCGTTCTCCCTCATCCCCCAACACCAAAGCACAGGCACTTTACACACACACACACACACACACACACACACACACACACACACACACAAGCGCACACACATGCACACCTGCATACCTTTCTTTTTTTCTCTCTTTTTTTTTTTCATCTGCTTCCACTGGAGCTCGAACTTGGGTCTGTATTTCAACAGTTTAGGTGGTGTACCAGCTGTGCTAGGCCATACCTTTTCTTGGCTCTTGTCTCCCTTTCGGTTTCCTACGATACTTCTATATTGTATAAGACAGTTAAGGCTATAATTCTCTTGTGTTTGCCTATTTCATTCTCTCCTTCCCTCCATGTTCTCTATGCCAAGTGAGCCCCTTGGAGACGTTGTCTATTTCATTCTCTCCTTTAGTTGGATGCACATATATTATCTACTCATATCCTTCAAAAAAAAAAACAAAAAAAAAAAACAAAGGCGACGACCTTGAGATGTCATCTTCAAAGTTCAAATTGACTGGCCCCAGGTTAATTCAGAGTTTATTTCACTCTACTGATTCCATCTGGATTCAACCTGAGGTCTGTAGTTCAGCAGTTCATGGGAGTTCTCACAGTGAGTGGCACTCAGTTTGTGACAGAAGCATGTATGGAGAAAGAAAATGGTCATTCACATCCATTATACCTTGGACCAGTAAATCTTGTTGTTATCGTCGAGTTCTTCAACAAATACCATCTGCATGAGCTGCTTGCAACCTTCGAGCGTCCAAGGCGTACAGTCAGGTATGACTCTTTCAGTGTCTAGCACATTCTCCTCCACGACAGGAATGGGCTCACTGATGACACCAACACCAGCACTGCCATGGCTTCCCCCGGAGCCGGACGGCACTGCTCCCTCCGCGGAAAGCCTGTCCCCAGCAGTTTCAAGATCGATACAGGATGAATTAGGACCTGTTTCAATCAGCTGACCATGCAAGTGACCAGAGCCATGTCCCTGGGTGTGTCCTGGCCCTGTGGAAATCCCCAGATGACCGCCCGCCTGGGTTGGGCCTAATGACCCCTGCTGGCCCTGAGCCGTGGGCACAAAAGCTGAAGTGGGCCCACGAACCATCGTCAGCCCCATAGCGCTTTGGCTCAGGCCAGCCATCATAATCCCTGATGCGGACTGTTGCTGCTGTGACAACATGCCGAGCGATGCGGAAGTGCCCATTGGTCCCACTTGAATTCCATGTGCAGCGGCGGCCGCAGCTGCTGCTGCAGCTGCAGCAACCTGGAGTGAGCGAGTACCACCGGGACCTCCTCCGTAAAGGGAGCTAGGGACAGACACAGCATCCATTCGGCGCGGCGGCGTCATTCCTGAATTATTGTTGCCACCACCTGCAGTTGTTGCTGAAGGATGAAGCGGGCTTCCTGTTGGCCCGGGGAGCGCCCTTGGTACATTCATGGGACCTCCACCCAGACCCAGAAAATGCGAGCGAGCAATACCTCTCCGCTCAAGCCGATTCATAAGGCGCTCCGGCAATGGGCCAGCATACGGAGGCCATCCATCCACACCCTTAAGGATGCGATGGCCTCCCAATTCCCGCCACTTCGACTGCAGACCTTTCCATGAGCGTCCTCGCAACTGTGGCCATCGCTCCGGGTTTCCATTCACCCTCTGAACAGCCTGCATGTCCACAATCAGCCAGATCAGATGCAGACATGCAAGCAAGATGAAACACACACACACACAGCACTGGCGAATCAGTTGGACACCCATATGGGCTGGGAAATGAAGACAGACAAACTGATCAGCAGGCAGCCAGGCAGCTAGGGAAGGTAGGGCAGCTGGATGAGGAATCAGGCTGATGCCATTGGGAGATGGGCCAGCAGACGGAAAGCCAGCCACACATGAATGCAGGTGGGCATACAGAATGGCACGGAGACATTAAGACGTGAAGGACAAAGGCAAGAAGGCGTAGCTGCACAGCACCATAGGACAATGGACAGCCATTGAGCTGTTAACTGGCTGAACGTTTGGTGAAGCTGCAACCCAGGAAGGCTCCTTCTGCAGCACCTGCAGAAAGCAATCTAGAGGACTATTGGATTCTTTTTGAACTTTTTCATGGGAAGGGGAGCTTTCCTTTGGGGTTTCAGGGCCTTTTTTTTTGTCGGTTGTGCATTGTTGGTTAGTTAAACTCAAAAAAAAAAAAAAAAAGCTTAGTTTCGTGTGCACTATATATAGTTTCATTGCAGGTTCATCACAAAGGTTTTCACAACTTTTCAGCACTTCGTTACAAAGCCACAGTGACTTGAAAAGCACTGAAAAATGTGGATGGATCGGCAAAAAATCTTCTCTTCTCTACGCAAATCTCACTCAGAGTCCTTAAATCATGCTTTAGTTTAGACTCTAGAGTGCCAATAGTGTGCACAATCACGGCCTTTCTCAATGATCTTCGCAAATGCCGGATTTGTCTGGAAAGCAACCAAAATAATCGCTAGAAATGGTCTGGGCGTTCACCAAAGAGCTGCTAGAAGCGGAATTGAGGGCATACTCACACTACCGGTAGGACTTTTTGCTTACTTATATTGGGACGGAATTGCGGCCAGATGCATCCAGGTGCGGCTGTAAATGCGGTCAGGTACATTTACGTTAGTGCTAATGTGAGTACGCCCTGAGAAGCAGATGGAGACAAACGAAGACAACGATCCGACACAGTCTGAAAAGGAACAGCAGTTACAGCACTTAATAAGCAAAAGAAGTTCACCCGCAACTGCCTAGTTGGCCCCAGGCAGAGAAGCCACAATCTCTGGTCTGCAATTACGATGGAAGAAGGATTGGGTTCACCCACAACTGCCTAGCTGGCTCGAGGCAGAGTAGCCACAATCTCTGGTCTGCAATTCCGATGGAAGAAGGACTGGGTTCAGCCGCAACTGCCTAGTTGGACCGAGGCAGAGTAGCCACAACCTCTGGTCTGCAATTACGAAGGAAGGAGGATTGGGTTCGCCTGCAACTGCCTAGTTGGCCTGAGGCAGAGTAGCCACAATCTCTGGTCTGCAATTACGATGGAAGGAGGACTGGCATAACTCAGAGCCTGAGTTGAGACAACAGTATCCTTGATGTTCAGGAAACCAGGAGGCCTTGGGCATTATTCTTCAAAAACAATCTGCATGCCATCGACTCGTGACTGCCTCCCTTCAGACGTGCTAACCGTTTTCAAGGCAGACCGGACTTACGACGAAAGGCTTTAATCAGTGACACTGACTGAAGCCTATTGGGTTGAGGAGGGCTGTTTCAAGCAGATAGAAAGGAATATAGACTCAGGAAGAAGGGCTACAGTTTTGGAAGTTCATGTGGTGCTCCAGAAAGCAGGCGCAAAGCATTCCCGTGGACTGAATTACAAGGAAGGTTGTTTGTTTGGAGCAAGGGAGGAGTTAGTCGGCACTGGTATCTGCCATTAAAAGACAGTTGGGACTGTTCTTTGGCATGTTTCTTAATGGGGTTCAGTTTTTTTTTGGGAGGGTTTGCAAACGTGTGGGACAGAGTGACAGTCAATCCTTCCTTGCGGAAGCAATCAATGCTATCAGGGTCCCTAGGTTGTAACGTGAAGAAGCATTAAGAGTGGATTCTATCTAAAATTTGGAACGCTGGACCTGGTTTCCAGCAGGTGCTGCTCCCCACCAATAGAAAGGAGCTTGAAAAAAAAAAAAGACATGGGATATTGACGGTACATATGTTGTCACATATGTATGAACTAAAAGAGCGAACTAAAAGAGCATGGGGGTGACCATTGGGAGAGAGACTCCCGAGCCGCTGCGTGGCTTGGACAGCACTGGTGTAGGAGGGATACCTCTTGAGAATTCAGGACACCTTTCGGTGGCGATGAGCTTGAGATAAACCGGGCCCCGCGCCTGGGAAAGTCACAGACGAGGACGTGGAAGATGGTTTGTAGGGGACTGGGAGTGTCGCCGGGGATGCTCTCCTCTACACACATGGATGCAAAAACCATGTCATACAGCCGAGTGTAACAGTGTTTGTAGCTGTGCAAAGGAGAAGGTCGCAGGTACATTGTCCTGCTGCGGCACGGCGCCAGAGGAATGAATGACCTTCGACATAAAAGAGATGCCGGACAGTTTGGTGTGGCAAGCAAACGGCATAATTATGTAAGAAGAAATCAGTAACATCAGTCATGGCATGGACAATGATGCCGTTGCTCCACAGTTCCCGGTGGTCAGAGGCATCTAAAATGGCCATTTAATGGCCAGGTTTGTGCACAATGCGCAGAGAGATGTAGGATAGAGGATTAAGCCACTCACCTGCTCAAGCATTGTGTAGTTCAAGTTGGCGGTCCCTCATTGCTACTCGTAGGACAGCAATGGTAAACCTCTTTCACTGGCATCATTACAAGCCTCTGCCCTGTAGGCGGGGAAGATCAGCACCAAGCTGAAGGGCAGTTGAAAGGAAGTCAGATGGTGTATAACAGGGGCAGTGGAGAGTGTGAAGATAGATATCAGTTGCAGTCAGACCACAGAGATTGGTGGGGATCTCAAGCTGGTGTGCCGGATGCTGGCCGACAATTTGCAGATCACCCAGATGGTGTTGCAAGCCCGAAATGTCTTGGGTTGTTTGCTGGTCAGTCATCTGCAGATCACCCATGTGGACTGCACCTGGTGGGGCAGCTCATCCAAACGAAGCTGGGCAGCCATTTGCAGATCCCCCATGTCGTCAACGCTTGAGGGGTGAACTGCAATCCCGGTAAATCATGTTCCAATATATATTCTGTTTGATGACATATTGTCACATATCTATCAACTAAAAGAGCACATATATATTATTATATTGTTATATATACCTGAGTGGGGATCCGGGCCGCCCGGGTGACCGGCAGGGGCCCGGGGGAGGTCCCGGGTCGCCTGGTCGGGCAGGGCACCCGGTCGGGGGCCGGGGCCCCCCAGCGCACTCACCTGTCGGGGGATTTTGGACCCCCTTTGTGTGTGTGTGTGTGTGTGTGTGTGTGAGAGAGAGAGAGAGAGAGAGAGAGAGAGAGAGAGAGAGAGAGAGAG